CCTGCGGTTCAGTCCAAGGTGGCCTCTGTTGGCAGTGTCTCATGCCGCGCCAGTCTGACCATTGACCAAATGCGGAAGGAGATTCGGAGGAGCAACGGACCCGTGGTGGAGGGCGCGGTGAAGCAAACAGTTGGGGTGTCCATATGAGCTACGGGAGCAAAGGAGATACGAATTGCGTTTCCCAACCATATATGATAGGTACATTTTTGTTGATTTTAATATCCTGCTGGATGTGCTTGACCAGGTTTGTATATGGTTAGCAATCATGGTCCCAGGAACAACTACAACTGCCATGGGGATTTGCTATTCAAAAGGCAGATGTCCCAATTGACACCATTGAACTGGTGGAAAAGGATGATCAACAAGGATGAACTATTTTGGGCCTAGTTCCAGACAAACCTGCGGGCAGCACAAAGAATTGGACACGAAAAAGAGTGGTTTTCTGATGGGTTTTCTGCTTTCGCAGGAGGCGGAAAACCATGGATAAATTGAAGGGGTGGCGCTATGCTCTGATTGTTTCTCTGGTGACTGCGAGAAACATGGCAGCATGGACTCGAATGACCTTTGCAGTGGTGGACACAATGGACACAGACACTTACCATTGGGATAGCCATCCTTTGAAGTTTTGCCGATTTCACTAGGGCTGCAAGTCCTATAAGTCCAAACCCCATTCGAACCTGGTAGTAGTAACTTATATGGGGTGTTAATATTTCTGATAAACTGTTTTTCATGGGGGTATCAACCAATATCAACCAATATCTACTTTGGAAGGGTTTTATTCCACTGATCCACCCGAAGATTACCGAACCGAAAAACCCAGGCGCGGTCGGCTTGGCCTATCGGCGCTGGCGTGGCCGTGCCGGGAAGACGGGGTTCCTTCTGGCCACGGCCGCCGGGGTGGGAGGCTTCATGGCGGCCTCGCAGCGCTGGGAGTTGAAGCTGGGTCTGCACTTTTTTTCAGGGGAAAAAACATGAGAAAAAGCACCAAGAATTTGATTGAGAATTGATGGTTGAGCATGATTTTCCCTAGAAATTGATGGTTGATCATGATTTTCCCTAGGCGGGTAACCCCGAAATTTGTCCAAAAACGACCGATTTTCGCGAAACATCATTGTTGCTTAAATGAAATTGGGATATGATTTATTCATATTTTGGCATTTGTCCAAGAAAGAGGGATGGACCCCAAGGTATGGCAATTTGAATCGGCAAAATCATGAGTATATATTATATATATAATATAATATATATATATATAAATATATAAACATATTATAACTATGGAATGCACTCGGAGGTACCCTATTTTCAATCAAGCCCTGGCATGGCGCAATAACTCTTTTCCCGCCAGCCGTGGCCTGGTGCTGAAGAGCGATACCCAGGAAACAGATCTCCTCGGAAGAAATCCTCAAGGCCACTTGCCATCGAAGCCTCAATCATGAGCTCAGCTTCTAGAGCTCTGTTCAGAAGTATCAGAGCATCATTAATCGCCACTTTGCCCAAACCAATAGACTGAGAAAACGGGGACTTCCCCTGGTCAAATCCTCCATGTTGGCTGAATTTCTACTCTGCTTTTGGGACAAGATAGTCCAACAGGCTTTTGTCCAAAGAAAGGCGGATGGGGCCTCAATTATTGGTCACAAAATACCGAAACACATTTGTCTAAACTATGGGGTTTTGGGTTATCACAAAAATTCAGAGATTTCATATCTATGAGCTGGTTTGCTGGAAATGAGTAATTTCTTGTCATCCAATATCGGAATATACATTACCTGGTGACCCGAACTTGGTGTAGCGTTTGGATTAGTTGTCTTTTCCAACACACCAATTAAGTAAGGTAAGACATATACATACACTAATATGGATAGATTAGAATGATTCACCTGAAATAAGGATAAATAATGCAATTTCGGGATAGCAAGTCCTATTGCTGTAGCCATCACTAATATCTCAGTCCAAATGTAATCTTCAGACATACTTACGCATAATTCATATGAGTCACATTTCCCAAGACACCAATGCAACACGAATTCCGTACTCCAAAAGGGTGTGTCTGGAAATGGGGTATACTTCCAACGATCGTAATTTCACAGGGAAAATGATGATGAACCACGATAAACATCGATAAACCATTGGTTTTTTTGGGGGTATACTATCTGCAGACAAACCCAAATTTCATTCACTGAGGCATTCTTCCCGGGTCCGGCAGCAGATCTGTTCTCCCGTCTTCCAGCGGCCATCGAAACGCTGCAGGGCCGCCTGGGATCTGATGAGCGCCTTGGAAGCTCTTGGGATGGTGATTTTGGTGGGAAATCTAGGGAAATCTACGGAACATCTATATGAAATCTGGGACGATCATGGGAGAATCGAAGAATCTCCATAGTTTTTGGGATGTTTTCAGTATTTGTTCGCGTTTTTGGCCTGGTTTGAGATGATCTTGTCCTTTTCTCAAGGAAAACACAACCAGGAAGATATATCTTATATTCTTATATCTTATTTTCCAGGAAGATATGTTTGAATGTCGGGTAGCGGCATCCCCAGTTGTGAGGACAAAGTACATTAGAGCGGTTCCATCCAGCTCAATACCATCATAGACCTGCAATATGTCTATGGCTAGAGCTTATAACCCACAGTGGTGGCTATACTCCTGCAGCAAAATCACCATTTTTGATGGCCAAAATCTCCTCTCAGGCTGTACATCGAGGAAAAAGTCGAAGGATTTGCCATGTTGCGACGGCTTATTGACCTGTCCTGTTCGCAACGAAAGCCGTACAGTGAAGCAAGGGCTCTGCTGGATCAGCAGAGTATCTTGGTGCTCAAAGAGCTGCTCATCAGTGGGATGTTAATCGTACATGGAACCGGATGCATTTAGGAACCAGATCAAAAACCATAAATGCAACTTCTCTAAGTGGATTACAACTTTACTTATGAACCACTGGGATGCGTGTCCCATCATGCTGGTGCTTTGGGTCTTAAACTCGGGGTTGTTTCTCAAAAAGAGGATTGTTTTTAGGACTCAAATGGATCCATGAAAAGAACAAAAACTCCTTTGGGTCCCAAATGTGGCGAAAAACACATGGGTTTGTCCAAAAAAATGGCGTACCCCAAATGTGCAATTGAAATCGGCAAAAGTGATGATGACCCTCGGGAATTTTGGGTGCCTGATTCTCAAGTACCAAACCGATCCGAATAGGATTTAATAGGTATACCAGTAGTACCGCACAAGGCGGTGGCGGAAGTTTCAAAGATAGGACACTATAGGAGAGGTTGTTGTGGATGGCAGAGCGAATCCACTGATGGACTGAAAGATGCTTGGAGTTGTGTTTTTTGAGGTGGTTGCAGTGGTCACCTCAATCACACGTGCTGGATGTAGTGTGGTGTAGTGTAGCGCAATGTAATTGTAAAAGCAGTTGTAGTTGTATTGTAGTGTAGTTGTAGTTGTACTGTAGCTGTAGTTGATGTTGTTGCAGTTGTCGCGGTAATGTTGTAGTTGTAGTTGTAGTTGTAGTAGTAGTAGTAGTAGCAGGAGTAGTAGTAGTAGTAGTAGTAGCAGGAGCAGTAGTAGTAGTAGTAGCAGTAGTAGTAGTAGCAAAGTAGTAGTAGAAGAAGTAGTAGTAAAAGAAGTAGTAGTAGAAGAAGTAGTAGTAGTAGTAGGAGGAGGACCTTGTGGTGTTTTCACCATTTTGATTTTGAAATGTGCTTTTTGCACAACGGTGTGCACTTTTACCACATCCGAACCTCCAAAAGTGGTCCGACCATGTTGTGTTTTTACCCTTTGCTTCGCGCCACAACGGTGCGCGCTTTTAACACATCGGAACCTCCAAAAGTTTTTAATACTTTTGACTTCGAAATGTGGCGTGCACTTTGTCATCTCTCATCTCCCCAGACGGCTCCGCGCCCGCCGCTTCAGCGAGCCTACTTTTCGGCCCTCCGGCGCCACAAATCATTGGAAAACATAGTGTTTCGCAATTTTTCTATCTTTTCGCGCGCCTGCATCTTCTTTCCTCTGACTCTTTCTCTTCTCTGCTCTTCTTTCTTCTTCTTCTTCTTTTCTCTTCTCTTCTCTTCTCTTCTCTGACTCTTCCCACCTCTGCTTTTCCATCTGTCCATATTGTCGGAACTTTGACTTCTAAACTTCCTTCGATTATGGTGTTTTAACAAAAACAATCGTTGACCAATATAAACCAATTTTGGTTGGTTAAATCCCGGTGTTGTTGGCCGGATGATTGTTTCAGTTGTTTCTCATCGACCAGTGAATCGACCAGGTAACGTTTCCATGAAAGTGCCGCCTGAAGAGTTGACGGAGGGTCTTCAGCTGTTGCCCTATGCAGAAGCGACCTACGAGGAGCGGGGTCCGAAAGCTATGGCTTGAATTGAAATATTTTTTTTTCGATGGGTTTGGGATGAGTAAACTGTATGACAACTCCTTCGTGAAGAACAGGTGTCACTTTTTACTACACGTTGAGTTTTGAGTCAAGTGCATGTCGCCGCTGCACTTTTTTGGCTCGGTGCAGGGAAACCATTCCGCATTCCTCATTTGGCTTGAGATATCCAGCTTCCATTTGATGCTGAGGTGGGGCCTGCCCCATTTCTTGCTGCTTGACTTGCACCGAATCAGCATCATCCTCGTTGTCCCAAAAAATGGGATAGCTTACCCTACTGACACAGAGCACGAGATGGTCTAGTTTTGGATTCCTCAATTCTTGGACATGCAAGTCTTCACTTTGCAACTTTTGCCGATAGATAGGCACCAAACCATTCAATTCTGGGCGTGCCCAGTCTGGGCCCATAACCAAAGTATATAGAGCTTTCTGTTTCAAAAGACATATCTGATTTGCACTTTTGTATATTATGAAACCTTTCTCAGGATCACCTTTGCCGTGTCATTTGCTGAGAGCAGCCGTCCCCATTTCCAAGCACTTCCTCTTGAAACAACTGGAGAGGGTGTGGACGAGCCAGCTTCAGCTAACCTGTCCAACGGCTCTAAGGAGATCCCCAAATCTAGGTTTAACCCAAGCCATGTAACCCTCGAAGAGATTTTGGGAGTTGCTTTGGTACTGACTTCTCCTTTGAAACGGTCATTCGCCTCCAAGAGTCCATAAAAGAAGGTTTCTTGCGCGCATTGTTTTGGGACTAGCAGGAGCATCTACCCAGTTTAGCAAGCAACAGCACAGACATCGCGAATGCGACGGAAGAGTCCGAATCAGCTGTTCCACATTTCTTCCTGCTTCAAACCCTTGATGGTAATCCAGCATGCCTTTTGGTGGTGCAAGGGTTGCTGATGGCGATCTGTTTCTATTTGCTGTTGAAAGCTGTCATTGACTATGTGGCGCAATCGGCATCGACACGCATCGAAAACCCCTTTGAGAGCATCGCAAAAGATAGCCCAGTCGCTTCTCAGAAATGGATTGACTATTTTGGCTTCGGCGGTGGCAAAGAACTGGGGAGTCTGGAAGATGCTTTCAGAGGCAGCGGGGGAGGTGCTGTTTACAGTGCCGGGGCATGGAAGGCATTCTTACGTTCATAATAGGCAGTGGTTCGCGCAGCGACTGCTCTACATTGACTGCCGTAGGGTGGCGCGAAACAGTGTGCACTCTCGCTGTTGTGCCGTGCCCATTTTTGGGGTAAAGTCGCTTTATGTGGTAGGCATAGCATTTTGGGTGAGGTCTGGAACTTCGTTTTCCGTGGCAAGCCCAGTGCTTTGTACACTTCTCATTCCGCACATTGCTAAACGGTTGGAAGGTGTCGCTGTTTGAAGAGGCCCTGCCAAAGTGCATGTGGCAGGTGCAATATGGTGCAATACTTTGTGCACCTGGACGGTGTTTTGAAAAACTTCCCACACATTTATGGTGTGGCTGTGTGTGTTACCAGCAGCGCTTTGTGGTGATGGTGCAGCACTTCGTGCTATCTCAATCCAACTTATCTTACTCTATCAAGGCTACTTCTACCAAATTTCTCTCTGTCTTGATCCAACCTACCTATCAAACCTTTGTCTAACCTTCTCTCTAAAAAACTCATCTGCACCAAACCCATCGCCATCAAACCCGTCTGTGTCTGACCTGCTGGTACCTGCATCCACTCCATAAGACAATTTTCGATTAAACTCCTTCGATTCTTTGATCTTCTCTGTGCCAAACTTTGTCTATAAGGTGCGAAGTGTAACAGTTCGCAAGCGTGTGAATTCATGTGTGAAAACGCTTTCGGGCACGAAACCCTCTATTTTTTTGGGTAATGTGGCTCCTGGGGTCACCGAAGTAGGGTGTCTGTTTCTGCGGTTGCGGGCCTCCATCTGGGAAAGTTGTCAACAAAAAGTGCACAGGACTATAGCGAGAGCTCGATCCGCGCTTCAAATTGCAAAAAACTGGTTGGATCGGGGCACTTTTGGAAGATGGGGTCAGCAAAATGTGCACGATTCGGAGCAGTGCGGAAAATCCACACTGCTGACGCTGCGCGAATATTGGTTGATTTGGTGCAGCGCTCCTGCTATATGCAGGTTTTCAGCCGTCTGCGACACATTGGCACAGCTGCGCGCAGCAAAGCATGAGTTTTGCTGCGACGCTCCTGCTTTGCGGGATTGCAGCTGGGGCCCAGCTGGGGGTTGCCAAACGCATTGTAACAGTCCACTCTTGTGCTTTGCGGAATTGCAGCTGGACGTTGCGAAATGCACTGTAACAGCTGCGCGAAGAGAAGAATTGGGCTGCCTGCAGAAGAGCTAGCTGGGAGGCAGCTCAGAGCAGGGTCGGAGAAGATGTAGCCCAGACAAAAGGCTGCCCAGAGAAGAAGTAGCTGAGAGAAGAGGTGCCTCGAGCAAAGAGGTCGCTCAATGAAGAAGAACAAGTAGCACAAAAAGAAGTAGCTCTCTCATCCATCAGTCCATTCATTTATGTATCCATTCGTTCATTCGTTCATTCACTGATTCGTTGGTTCAATGATTCACTGAATCATCGATTCATTATATTAGGTACGGGTGCCTTAGGACTTGGTAAAGATACCCCGGGGTGGCCAAGTCCTATCTCATCAGGCGTCGGACCCCCCCGGACCAAGTCCCAACTCATCAGGCGTCCGTCTGAGATCAGAAACTATGTTTGTTTTTTTTTGCTTTGCTGAGAGGTATTGTTTTTTTCAAGAATCTAGTGCGGCATGAGCCACTCGTAAATGATGATGACATAGGAATGAACAACCCGTGCTGCCAGGCAAAGCGGCTTCAAGCCTGCAGTAGCTTAAAGTCTGGGTCAAACTTGTTGGTTATAAACCCGAAATCTGGAAGGTTTCCTGCAGAAGAACGGCAAATTTCTGGGTTGACCGGCTGAATGTGTATGTATTTAAATAGCAAGAACAACAGTATTAACATCAAAAATGCATATCAAACCTGGATGATATGATTGATAATTGTGTGGAAATAGCATGCCGATATTTTGACAAACATATTTTGAAAAACATCTTTTAATTTTCATTGCAATACCTTGAAAATGAACTACTGAGTGTTTTAAAACCGATTGTGGACATAACTTATTGATAGAAATTAGTTTTTCAAAAATATCGAACTATTATTAAACACATATGCAGAATTGTGAAATTTCTGTGTGTTACACAAGCAGATTTTTGATTTACCCATCATAAATGTGACATGTTTCATTTTCCTTCATTTTCCCGTTGTGCCCCTCCCGTTGTGTCTTCCCGTTGTTATCTTTAACGGGAAGCTACCAGGCTCACGGAGAACGGACCCCGATTTTTTTAGGGAAACTGCGGAGGTGCACGGGGAAAAAACATCACATTTATTGTTTGAAAGAATATTTCTTTTAAACATGACATTCTACCTGGCATTCTTTTATATTATTCTTTTTTATCTGACATTTAACCTAAGAAATATTCTGACATGCCATCTGACATCTTCTCTAACATGTTATTTGTAATGTAATGTAATGTAATGTACTGCACTGTACTGTACTGTAATGTAATGTAAGTATGTATCAATGTACTGATGGCTTAGGACATTAAGAAATGTTTTTTAACCTTGAAAAGTGCTTAAGTCCAAAAACAACCCCAGTGACTTAGGACTTGGTGCACGCAAATCACATGGTAACAACAAAGACCTGGTCCACAAAATCCTATGTCATCAGCTGGGCTTAAGTCCTATGTCATGGGTACCTAATATACTTCACCGTTTTAATGATTCATCGGCTCATTGATTTATTGACTCATTCATTTGTTCGTTCGTTCCTTCATTCATTCATTCCTTCCTTCATTCATTCATTCATTCATCCATCCTTTCATTTCACTCATTCACTCATTCACTCATTCACTCATTCACTCATTCACTCATTCACTCATTCACTCATTCACTCATTCACTCATTCACTCATTCACTCATTCACTCATTCACTCATTCTCATCACATTCACTCACTCATTCATTCATTCATTCAGTCAGTCAGTCAGTCAGCCAGTCAGTCATTCAGTCATTCAGTCATTCAGTCATTCAGTCATTCAGTCATTCAGTCATTCAGTCATTCAGACATTCATTCAGTCATTCAGTCATTCAGCCATTCATCCTTTCAGTCATTCATCCTTTCACTCATTCGTTCGTTCGTTCGTCCGTCCGTCCGTTCGTTCGTTCGGTCGTTCGGTCATTCGCACACTCATCCACGCATTCCTTCCTTCCTGCCTGCCTGCATGCCTGCATGCATGCCTGCATGCATGCCTGCATGCATGCATGCCTGCCTGCATGCCTGCCTGCATGCATGCATTCATGTATTCATGCATTCATGCATTCATGCATTCACGCATTCATGCAGTCATGCGTTCACGCATTGATGCATTCATGCTTTCATGCATTCGCGCATTCATGCAGTCATGCGTTCACGCATTGATGCATTGATGCATTGATGCATTGATGCACTGATTCATTCATTCATTCATTCCTTCCTTCCTTCGTTCGTTCGTTCGTTCGTTCATTGATTCATTCATTCATTCAGTCAGTCAGTCAGTCATTCAGTCATTCATTCATTCAGTCATTCATTCCTTCCTTCCTTCCTTCCTTCCTTCATTTCGTTCGTTCGTTCGTTCGTTCGTTCATTCGTTCGTTCGTTCGTTCGTTCCTTCCTTCCTTCCTTCATTCCTTCGTTCGTTCGTTCGTTCATTCATTCAGTCCTTCCTTCCTTCCTTCCTTCATTCGTTCATTCATTCATTCACTCACTCATTCATTCATTCATTCATTCAGTCAGTCAGTCAGTCATTCAGTCATTCAGTCATTCAGTCATTCAGTCATTCAGTCATTCAGTCATTCAGTCATTCAGTCATTCAGTCATTCCTTCCTTCCTTCCTTCCTTCATTCCGTTCGTTCGTTCGTTCATTCATTCATTCATTCATTCATTCAGTCATTCATTCATTCATTCATTCATTCATTCATTCAGTCATTGGTTCATTGATTCAGTGATTCATTCATTGGGTCACTGAATGATCGATTCATTGGTTCATTGGTTCATTGATTCAGTGATTCATTCAGTGTGTTGGTTCATTGATTCATCGGCTCAGTCTTTCACTTAATCTTGGACTCATTGATTCATCATTTCATTAATTTGAAAAACATGTGGTTCACTTCATTGCTTCGTTGATTGCCCGAAAGATGGCTCATTTGTTCGTCGACTCACTAATTCACTCATTTATTGGTTTGTCAACTCACAGATTCACCAACTCATTGATTTATCATTGTTTGTTTAGTCGGTCAGTTGTGCAAGGTTTCTTTCATCTCATTGCATTGGCATCTCAACCACCATTTGCTCATTTGTCATTGATGCGCCTCACAACTTTAACAATCATTGCTTCTGCATCTAAAAAAATCCTATAGACCATCTTCTTCCTATAGTCCTTTCCTATTTCGAAATTTCCGCCCCGGCACGGGCCGAACACTACCTGTTGTATATATATATATACATACATAAATACATACATACATACATACATACATACATACATACATACATACATACATACGTATATATACGTATGTATTCATATTTATATACAGTTTATCTTGTTCATGGGTTTTGCATCCGACAGTAAAACTTAACATGTGGGGTTATCCAGTCCTCACATTTTTTGCCACAATTCCATATTAGCTCTTAAGGGGGATTACTGGGATGGCTGTCGAAATTGGTCTGTGATGGTTCCCGTTCTTTTTTGCACTTACTTCGATGTGCTGTACTTCACCAACGAATCTTATAAACTTCCCATCTTTGAAACATTTCCATTAGCCATTTTATCATGGCCGAGCCGAGCCGGAGGTCTGACTTCCTGCCAGTGGAAGTATGTCAGGGGCGTGATGCTGAAATCCCACCGCCTGCGCCAGACAGGCATCAAGGAGCAGCGGAAGAGTGCTGATTGGAAGATGGTGGAGTTGGTATCCGTCTCCGTCACGCCTATCTTCATCAGCATCATGGGGAATTTTGGGGAAGCCTTCAGGCCAATGCAATTTCCGTCACCGTGGTATCCTAGTGAACATCAGACAACAGATAGCCTTGGATTTTCAACACCCAGAGATGGTCTCATAGGTATTTGAAAGAACCCAATGGGTGTATGTGTTTGCACGTTGTCCAAACAGTTCACAGATGTGTGTGTGTGTGTGCATATGATACCACCATCTGGATTTACCCATACATTATGTCATACCAATGCCCCATCTCCTTCATTATGTGTGTATGTGTGTGTGTGTCTATGTGTGTACCTCTATGTCCCGGCGGGTGTGGAATAGCGCGTGTAGTCGTAAACAAAACACTTCAAAATGCATTGCCTTTACGGTGTTTTGTGTTTGGCACAAATCATGTTGGGGGGTCAAAAAAAGGCAACGCCTTTTTATGTTGCATTTTTTAAAGCTGGCAGGGATCTGTACATCTTACTGTAGCGGTTGCAAGTTAGTTGAGAAAAGTAAGAACGTAGCATAAACAGAAAGAGCGTGTTGGAAGTTGCTTGAGAAAGTTAAGAGAGTTAAGAGAGTAGCATCAAGAGCCTGTTGCAAATTACTTGATATAGTTAAGAACGTAGCATCAAGAGCATGTTGGAAGTTACTTGAGACAGTTAAGAGCGTAGCATCAAGAGCGTGTTGCTAAGTTACTTGAGATAGTTTAGACCGTAGCATCAAGAGCGTGTTGGAAGTTACTTGAGAAAGCTAAGAGCGTAGCATCAAGAGCGTGCTGGAAGTTACTTGGGAAAGTTCAGAGCGTAGCATCAAGAGCATGTTGGAAGAATGCAAAGCAACCAAATATTATTATGCCTCCCATCACGCCAAACCCCTTCCCCCCACAGCAGCCTCCACATATCACGAATATTTCCTTCTTGTCAAAAAAGCACACCACTATACGTACGGTTTTGCACGCGTTAGCATTTGTATGCATGTTTCTTTCTTTCTTTCTTTCTTTCTTTCGTTCGTTCGTTCGTTCGTTCGTTCGTCTTTCTTTCTTACGCAAAAGTGTGACTGAAACCTGCATGACCCAATGTTTTGGCGCTTGGATTGGGGAATTGCGCAGCTTTCCCTCTTGAATGGGATGAATTGGGATTTCACAAACAACTAGTATAGCAAGGGTGCGCCTTTCCTTCAATATTTGTATTTGAGCAGTGCTTAACATATATGTTGGTTGGTGGTTGTAAAGCCTACACTAATCGGAGCAGAATCCACTAGATGGGAATCAGTATCAGCTGATTTGCAGGCAACCGATCCAACTGCTGGCCATAGCCCTTTCCTTGGTGAGCACGATTTGCCAGCTCGCTCCCCTTGGACGTGGGGAAGTAATGCTGACATACTCTGCAAAATTGGAGACGCTTTGTTGGACATACTGGTCTGTAACGGGGCGATTTGAAGAGGAGCGAAAGAAAAACATGCAGACGGAATTGGAAACGGAAGCTGCCAAGTCCGCAAAAGCACAGGGCTACTGGTCAATGTTCCACCAACGATTGAGGGAGGATCGGTCAAACCTACTGAAACGCGTGAAAGAGCAACAAGAAGTTGAGGCTGATGATGCCAATGGTGATGGGCATCCAAGCAGGAGGCAGGCCTTTAGCCGTGAACCTGACAAGGAAGAGGTTGATGCCTATTTGTCAAGTCCTTTGACCTCCTTGGAGTGTGCGCGTGCCATGCTCTTTCCAAAATTTGTGGAGCTTTGTGCAGAGGAGATGGAGGACTGGGTTGGAAAGCGTCCTGTGTAGAGGGGAGTCGAACAGTTGCTTAATGCATTCCAGATAAGAAGTGCTTAGCTAGTAGTCATTAATAGTCACTAGTCACGGATAACTAAACCAATCATGCGGGGGATGTCACCCCAGGAAACGGGGACCTGCAATCACCTGCTTCCATAAGCCTCCATTTCTATCGGTTGCACCGAACACGTGGTGAGGTCCTTGAGTCATTTTTGGCTGATGGAATCAGCATTTTGTTGTTTCAGTGGGTTTGTTTGAACATGGGTTATCTTCAAATCCCCTCTAAATATCTTTTATATCTCCAAATTACCATCTTGAATTGGGATCATGCCCTATTTTCAGGCAAAGCCATATTTGTTGGTTACTGTCCAGCCGCTGATCCCTGAGGCCGGAGAGGCCGAACTTCAAAAGAGCTTCGCAGCGCCGCGCTTGACGACCGGTCAATCCAAGAAGAGAATGTCCCAGGAGTGGGGTTTGCCCCTGATCAAACAATTCAACCAACCAACAAATAGATCAACAGGTGAGAATTTATTTTTACCAAAAGTGGGATGTTTGCAACCAAATCTTGGACCCCCCAAAACTTTTTATCCGTACTACAGTGGTTTGGAGAGTTTGGAGGGTTACGCATTAGGAGGGTCGAAACTAAATAAGACACAACAGAACACATGCCGCCATGCAGTGGATCAAGAAGGAAAAATGGTTGGTATGCGGATCATGAACTTTTGAGCCATTCCCCGACCTCGATGTTAGCGAGATTGTCACATCCTAGCGTGTATACCCTCTGGTAAACTAAGATAGCTGGAAAATCACAATGTTTACTAGGTAAATCATCTATTCAAAGGAAGTTTAGCTCCCAACAGTGATTCTGCTGGGTTTCAATCTCTGGAAGGGAAGTGGTGACACGAAAATGCACACCCCGAAAAACCGGAACAGTCCTGGAACCTTGCTGGAACCTTGCTGGAATCTTTGCTGGAACTTCGCTGGAACCTCGCTTGAACCTTGCTGGAACATTGCTGTGCTGGAGCCTGGTGAAACCTTGCTGCAACCTCTCGGAGCCCTGTTGCTGGAACCCCTGGCTGGAACATCTTTTAGGGAACCGCTGCATGGGTGGACATCGTTTGTCTTTTTATATTGTTTCTTGCTTTGCTTGATGTGTCGGGTTGTGATGTTGGAAGTCTGGTTTGAACTTTGCTGGAACAGTTTTGCAACCTTCCTGGAACCTATATGAAGACAACTTCTGCATTTTCTTTGGGCTTTCTTTTGTTTCTTTCTTTTTTTTATTTTGTGACAGGCAGTTAAAAACGACGATTCCTTGCTGAGACTGTGATGCTGGAATCCTTGCCTGAACCTTTGAAGGAACCCTAGGAGCCCTTGCAGGATTGCCTTGCAGGATTGCCTTGCAGGATTGCCTTGCAGGAATGCCTTGCAGGAATGCCTTGCAGGAATGCGTTGCAGGAATACCTTGCAGGAATTCCCTTCAGGAAGTCTTGCAGGAACCTTTCGGGAAACCATAGCAAAACTTGCGGATTTTGTTTGAGTTTTGCTTTGTTAGTTTGCATTTTTCTCTTAATTTGCGGGGCTACTTCGTGTGTCAGCACATCCTCACAATAAAGCCCTGAAAAACCTGAAGCGATAGATGCTGGAATCCTGGAACCTTGGAACCCTGAAACCATCAAATCTTGGAACCCTTCAATCTTGAATTAAGCCTAAAACCACGCGCAAACCGGTGATCCAACCAGTAGCAAAGGTGGGAGAGAAGTGGGCAAGGAGTCTGAGCTTTGTCACCCCAGATTTGAAGTGTATTGCGGTCAGCCTGTAATTCCCCATTGGCGCCAGCTGGGCCAATCTTCTGCACCTGCATCCTTGTGATCATGGTGCAAGCTTGGAACTTTGCCCCGTGACATTGCAACCTTGGAACCCTGGAGAGCTCTGGAACCCTGTAATCCCAGATTGACCGTTTGCAAGTCTGGAACCTTTGCGCTTGCCATGAACCTGGTAACCTTGTGCGCTGGAAACCATCCAGCTTCACCTGAAACTTTGAATTTAAGGACTTGGATGCTATGGATCCGTTGGTCCATGGAATCTTGGAACCAAGAAACTTGGAGTGTTGGAATTATGAAACTTTAGAGTCATAGACTTTTGAAACCGCGAATTTGGCCTCTTGCAACCTTAGAGCCTTGCTACCCTGGCTGGAAACCGAAAGCCTCGTGAAAAACTTTGAACTTTGGAACCTTGTGAAGCTGTAGAACTGACGCTTTACTATGGATCATAATGTGTTTTGCGTTTGCCTGGCATGGCGCTGGTCACTTCGTTGTTGATGAATCAAACCAAACCCTTACAAGTCTAGAACCTTGATGCTTGGAACCTTGAAACCTGGAAGCCTGGAACCCTGGAAATCTAGAACTCTGGAACCTTGGAACTCTCGAAACCTGCGGCCTTGCAATCCTGGAAAACTGCAACTGTGGAACCCTGGGCTCCTGCAAAACCTTGGGCCTTGCCTGATAACATTGCAACCTTGGACCCCTGGAACCTGCTGTTGGTTTGCAAAGCTGGGTTCATTTGAAAACTTCCGAGTTGCGGACGATTGTCATGGGCAGCATTCGGACCATCATGTCAACCACATCATCATGTCAACTACGTCATCAAGTAGTTGGGAAGTGTAACAGGTCGGGAACGCGTGAATTCAGGCTTGAAAACATCCTCGGGCCCGAAACCCTGTGTTATTTCGGGTGAAGTGGCTTCCGTGGTCGCCGAAGTAGGGTCTCTGTTTCCGCGGTTTCGGGCCTCGATCTGCAAAAGTGGTCGACGAAAAGTGCACAGGACTGTAGCGAGAGCTTGATTTCACATAAAAATCGTAAAAAACTGACGCGGTCGGAGCACTTTTGGAAGATGGGGTCGGCAAAATGTGCGCGCAACTGTAGCGAGAGCTCGATTTCATATAAAAATGTGAAAAATTGAAGGCTTCCGAGCACTTTTGGAAGATGGGGTCGGCAAAATGTGCACGAGACTGTAGCGAGAGCTCCACTTCACACAAAAATCATACAAAACTGACGTCGGAGCACTTTTGGACGAAGATGTCGGCAAATTTCATTGGTTCATTCATTCATTCTGTCATTCATTCATTCATTCCTTCCTTCATTCCTTCATTCCTTCATTCAATTCCTTCATTCCTTCATTCAATTCCTTCATTCCTTCATTCAATTCCTTCCTTCCTTCCTTCCTTCATTCCTTCCTTCATTCCTTCCTTCATTCCTTCATTCCTTCATTCCTTCATTCCTTCATTCCTTCATTCAATTCCTTCATTCCTTCATTCAATTCCTTCATTCCTTCATTCAATTCCTTCATTCCTTCATTCAATTCCTTCATTCCTTCATTCCTTCATTCCTTCATTCCTTCATTCCTTCATTCCTTCATACCTTCATTCCTTCGTTCATTCGTTCATTCGTTCATTCGTTCATTCGTCATTCGTTCATTCATTCTTTCTTTCTTTCTCTCTTTCTCTCATACATTTCATTTCATTTCGTTTCGTTTCTTTTTCATGTCATGTCATGTTGTTTCATTTCATTCATTTTATTCATTTCGTTCATGTCATTTTATTCATTTCATTCATTCCATTCGTTCCATTCATTCCATCCATTCCATTCATTACATTCATTCCATTCGTTCCATTCCTTCCATTGGTTCCATTGGTTCCGTTCGTTCCATTCGTTCCATTCGTTCCCTTCGTTCCGTTCGTTCCATTCCTTCCATTCGTTCCATTCGTTCCATTCGTTCCATTCGTTCCATTCATTCCAATCATTCCATTCATTCCATCCACTCCATTCATTCCATTCATTCCATTCATTCCATTCATTCCATTCATTCCAATCATTCCATTCATTCCATTCATTCCAGTCATTCCAGTCATTCCAGTCATTCCAGTCATTCCAGTCACTCCATTCATTCCATTCATTCCATTCATTCCATTCATTCATACATACATACACTCATGCCTTCCTTCCTTCCTTCCTTCCTTCCTTCATTCCTTCATACATGCATTCATGCATTCATGCGTTCATGCATTCATGCATTCATGCATGCATGCATGTATGCATGCATGCATTCGTTCATTCATTCGTTCATTCATTCCTACATCCACTCATTCATCCATTGAATCGTTAGATCGATCGATCATTCAGTCATTCATTCCTTCCTTTCATTCGTTCATTCAATTCTTTTCTTTTCATTTTATTTCAGTTCGTTTCAATTCATTTCAATTCACTTCTTTCCAGCCCAGCAACAATTCATATAAGCAAACTGGGGCACTACCTGGAAATGGGTTATTTTCCATAGCTATGTTAGTTTACTGGAGGGTAAACACTTGTTACGGGAATTACGTATTGATGTGCGGACCCGGAGTCAATTTTTTCTGGTGTATCTGACCAGGATCTCAGCACTGACTCTGGTTCGGCTCGCAAGTGACGCTGAGTCTCGCTTGGGCTGAAACTGTACCAGCTAGTTTATGTTCACGGGGGTTTGACCCATATCCATCAATCATGGTGCCAAAGATCGCCCACCCACATTGTAGATCTTGGGTGAGGGTCACTAATCTTGGCCCAGCTTGGTACGTGACCATGTTGCTTGTGGAGTTCATTCAGGCGGGCGGAACCCAAAGGCTAAGAGGTCAAATTGTCCAGCGGCCGGAAAAGGCGACTGCAGGTAGCTGCGACCAATGGAGAAATTTTTAAAGTCTTGGGGAAAGGTGTCTTGTTTGTCATTGTTGCCAGTATGGCTCAAAACGATTGACCCTAACTTGGATGTTTTGATGCTAAACATGTCCAATTCTGTGGGTCCATAGGTGCCTTAATTTTCAGCCATGGCCAGACTAAGTCCTCTTTTCTGTGGCACCTCATTCGCAGGAGGATGATGTGGTGAATGAAACCTGCCACGAAAGGGGGCATGCGGCGGGAGCCTCAGGAGATCTGAGGGTCTTGAGTCTTGGCGGAAGCCGTCATGAAAAACACGCACCTATGTAGGCTAGCTTCAGTTTCACACATTGCAACAGATTGTCTGAAAATGCGGTACCCCAAATTTATCATAATTTATCATAGTTGATCACATTCCCTATTCTTTAGCGGTTCTCTATAGGGGTATACGGTATAATGTGGGTAAAACAACGAAAAGCAATGACATAAACCATCCCCCAGTCATGTCATGGCTGGTTTATGGCATTGTTTTACACACATTATACCAATGTTCTAAAAACAATAAACGCTATTAACATCTATTAACATCTATTAACCATTAATAAACCACTAAAATCCACATTAATAATCCATATTTTGACAGAAACCCAAGGTGCTGAAACTGGTGGGGCTCAGCAAGCCGGGCGCGCCGGCGCACTTCCTCAGCTTCGATGCCACGAAGAAGTTGGCGATCCTTTCGGTGCGAGGTGCCGCTGGCGCCAGGATCCCGAAATAAAAAAAGGGGAGTGGTTGGAAGTGGTTGGAAAAATCTAGTCCTTGATATAATATATATATATATATGTACAATTATGTATATTAATATGTATATTAATATGTATATTAATATGTATATTAATATGTATATTAATATGTATATTAATATGTATATTAATATGTATATTAAAATGTATATGTATATGTATAGGTATAGGTATAGGTATAGATCGAACTATTTCACAAGCGATGACAAGAGGGGGTTTGCCTTAACGTGCCTACTAACCAGCTAGATTAGCTAGTAACTTCGGAGATCCACAATTGTGTCACCAGGCACGAAGACGCCAGCGGATGCCCTGACAGATGCTTGGAATGCATTGAGAACTGGTCGCGAGTCGCGGTGTCATGAGTTGAAGGGTAAAGTACCAGTAGGAATGGGATTCGGATTAAGTCAATTTTGTTTATTCAAATTTCTTTAATTTTCATGAATTTTCTATCCCCTAGGAGATTGGTGATGGGGTAACCACGGGTGAATGAATTTGTATTAGTTGATGTCTCATAGATTTGGGACCTTGAGGACTTGGCAGGGGACATCCAACAGCGAGATCTTGAAGATGGCAAGAAGCTGCCACTTGCCCCAAGTCCCATCCAGTCCCAACCATTGGAGGCTTCCTAAGTCATGGGGGTACGGGTACCCAAAATGGATGGTTTTATTTCATGGGCAGTCCATGTATAAATGGACGAAATATGGGGTACCCCCATTGAAATGGAAACCTCCATATGGTTGGGATGAGGAGGCACACCCGGCCATTAGTTTTTTTTCATTTTTTTCCCATGCTGAAATGGAGACTTGTTGGTATTTTTCTTTTTTAGTCCTCAACTTGCCCAGAAGTTGTGAGAACCCCAATGGGTGATATGCATGTCACATGCTGCTGCCATGTTCCTCCTTTCACATCAGGTATGCACATGCTGGTTTCTTGACTGCAGCAGATTCTGTGCTGCAGAGCATCAGAGGTGCCGTCAGGCGAGTGGGCTGGACATGATGTGAACATCTTGTTTGCCAGACCTTGGAAAATGGGTTTGATGTTGAATTCCCCTTTGGTAATTCAACAGTTTGCTATTGAACATTGCCATTTATAGTTGCTTTACCTATTGGACATGGTGATTTTCCATCGCTACGTTAGTTTACCAGAGGGTATACTGAAGTATCTGCTCTATTTATCTATTTTTATCTATTTATATCTATTTATATCTATTTTTCATATTTATCATCTTTCAGCAATTTGGAGGCTTCCAATGTTCCAACAGTTGCTGCCGGGGGACTCCAGGGATCTGTTGGCGCCCCTGGGATACTCCCTGCTGGTGACGGGCCACAGCCTGGGAGCCAGTACTGCGTGTTTGGTGACGCGCCTGCTGTATGCCGAAATGACCTCCTGGTGCCCCGGCCATGGCGGCCATTCCCCGGTGGTCCCTGAAAAAATCTGATTTTGGGGTCGGTTGAGGCTGCTGATAGTGAAAAACTTGGGCGAAATCGGCGAAAAAACCCCAATCTGAAGAGATGAAAATCGGATCGTGATTGTGAGGGCGAATCCTCGTGCTATGATCATTAGCCATGAAAATCGGCTGTCTTTCGAGTCCCAACTCCCCAAAACTGGTTGTACTCATCTAATTTGAAGCCCTGCCAACTGTCCAGGATCCATTCAGTTGGGATCCCATAAATAGCACGGGAATGGATCCATCATCGCCATCAGGGGCATGGTAAACTATCGCTCGAATGCACTGAGAGCGGCGACCTAAGGAGTTCCCAGCTCTCCTCCATTCGCTGCGTTGCTTTTGCGCCCTGCCCCTGTGTCCTGGTGAATGGGGAGATGAAGCAGAACACTGGGGATGAGAAACAATGTGGCAAATCTTAAATATTTTATGTCGCCTATTTAATCCTATTTAAGTAATTGAAATGCATATTGAATATTGACATTACCCTCTGGTAAACTAACATCTATGGAAAATCACAATTTTTAATGGGACAACTCACTATAAATGGCCATTTTCAATAGCTATGTTAAATTACCAGAGGGTAATTCACATTGAATAGATGATGATTCAATGATCTCCTTGGATCTAAACGGAGAGCTTCCAAGGTATGGACGCGGTGAATGCAGCTGGTTGTGCCGAGTCCCTCGACCCTTCCACGTCATTGGTTCTCAGTCTCTGGGCGAACAGGGAAGCTTTGACCTCCTTTTTGGACAAACTCTTAAAGAAGCAGCAAGAAGAATGGGGTTTCAGCAGGAAGTGAACCAGCAAGAAATGGGATCTTCTGCAATCAATATAAACTAGATTAGTCATTGGTGGTCTAATTTTCTTGGATAGCCCAAGAACGGGTTTGGATACAGTGTTCGTGGAGTTCGATCTGGATGTGATTTGATGAACATGAAGCTGGTTGGCCGTTTCAAAGACATTCCATTTTCTCTCCACTTGATACATACATATTTTTTCAAGGAGTCTAAGCCACCAACCACGTGGTTGCTCCAACCTGCGATAGGTATTTTTCAACGATAGCCACAGGGGTACTGGCCCCAGGTTTTGTGTGCAATGATGATGCCGTTCCTCGAGCTGCTTAGCAGGAAATCAGGGTGAACGATCAGTGTGAACTGGTTCCTATTTCCAGATGGATCGCAGGTTGGCGAAAGCCTGAACTCTTTCGCTCCATCCTGAAGAAAAGGAATCTCTTCTAGATTTGGTGGTAACCCCCTCCCAAAACTCCAAAGGTTGAAGGGTAAAAACCTGGGTTTCCTTTGAAATTTTCCCCAAGCAATTCACCAGGCTTTGCTAAAACGAGGATACCACAGTTTATGGCCCAAGGGGCCACAGAAAATAGACAACATAAAGCATAGGATGTCATGGGCTATCAACCTAACAATAACAATGGTTACTTGGGGAATCATCATCATGATATACCCTCTGGTAAACATACAAAAAGCTATTGAAAATGGCCATAGAAATAGTGGATTTTCCCAGTAAACATGACCATTTTCAATAGCTATGTTAAATTACCAGAGGGTAATCTTTTTGATCACTACTTTGCTCATTGAAACTGCCTTTTTCATTGGAAAAAATCATCATCCCAGCGATTTTTCCAGGCCCAGGTGGGGTCTTCTGGGGTTATCACCACAATCCCATTATGTTTCGGCTGCTTGTAAACACCACCATAAATTCACCGAATCTTTTTGAAATATCCCCAATTATTGGGGTTGCTCCAACTCATTATTAGCAACTCTTTGGGGGTAAATTTGTCATTTTTGTATTATATAATATACTATATATATATACATATATATATGTATATATATATATATCTATATCTATATATATAGATATCCACCATCTTGCACCATGGCGCCTTTTCCCGAGATCAGCATGCAGAACCTGGGGCGCCTCTCGTTGCTGGGGAAGGGCGCCAGCGTCAAGGAGGTGCTGCAGCTGGCCGTGGCCAGTCGGCTGAGGGACTCGGATCAACATCTGCCTGGGAAGGTGGTGGTGCTGCACCAGAATGAGGCGGGCTGGGCAGGTGATCATACAAAAAATATATCATTACAATACATTATACATATGTATATACACGTATATGTATATATATATATGTATATACATATATGTATATATATATATATGTATATACATATATATGTATATATATATATATGTATATATATCACGAAAGCCAGCCGAAGGCCTGGGCTTGAGTATAGGTATAAGCGAAGCGAAGCGAAGCTAATCTAGGGGGTGTGGGGGGGGGGAGGCCCGAAATCGGTCCGTTTTTGAAAGGTGAGGCCGGAGCCTGGGGGGGGAGAGCTCAAAAACCGACCTGCCGTTTGCCTGGTTTTTTGGGCCCGAACGAGATGCTCCATTTTGGACACTTGTTGGTGGTTTTCGACGGTTTTCATCGGGTTTCAAACGCCAAAACACTGTAATTTACGGTGTTTTTGTGCGTTTGGCCTGGCAAAAGTACGTCTTGCAACATGCTGAAAACTGCGTAAATACCACTGTTTTTGCTAGGTTCTGGCCATAAAACACTGTAAATACCGTGGTTTTTGGTTCCAGGAGCAAAAAACACCGCAAATACCGTGGTTTTGGGCTTGCGAGGCGTCAAAAAAACACGGTTTTTACGGAGTTTTTTGCTCCGAGAATGTTCAAAAAACACGAAAACACCACCTATTTGACCATTTTTCGGCTACCTTGTTGGTGGTTCTTGACGGTTTTCATCGGGTTTCAAATGCCGAAACACTGTAATTTACGGTGTTTTTGCGCGTTTGGCCTGGCAAAAGTACGTCTTGCAACATGCTGAAAACTGCGTAAATACCACTGTTTTTGCTAGGTTCTGGCCATAAAACACTGTAAATACCGTGGTTTTTGGTTCCAGGAGCAAAAAACACCGCAAATACCGTGGTTTTGGGCTTGCGAGGCGTCAAACAACACGTTTTTTTTTTTTAAACGGAGTTTTTTGCTCCGAGACTGTTCAAAAAACACGAAAACACCAACTATTTGACAATTTTTCGGCTTTACAAATGAAGGTTAAAAAAAACATGCCGCAACGTCTCTGTGTGAAGATGTTTCTATGTAAAAGCGTCTCTGTGTAAAAGCGTTTCTCTGTAGATATATCTGTGTGTACAAGGGTCTGTGTGTACAAGCTTCTGTGTGTAAAAGGGTCTCTGTGTAAAAGCTTCTGTGTGTAAAAGCCTCTGTGTGTCAAAGCGTATGTATGTAAAAGTGTTTGTGTGTAAAAGCGTCTGTGTGTAAAAGGGTCTGTTTGCAACATTCTGTGTATGCGTAAAAGGGTCCGTGTGTAAAAAGGTTCGTGTTTAAAAGTGTCTGTGTGTAAAAAGGTCTGCGTGTAAAAGCATTTCTGTGTCAAGATGTTTGTGTGTCCAACAGTCTGTGTGCTACTACGACTCTGTGTAAAAGCCTTTCGGTGTAAGATGTTTGTGTGTAAAAAGGTCTGTATGTAAAAGCCTCTGTGTGTGAAAGCGTATGTGTGTAAAAGTGTTTGTGTGTAAAAGCGTCTGTGTGTAAAAGGGTCTGTGTGCAACATTCTGTGTATGCGTAAAAGGGTCGGTGTGTAGAAAGGTTTCTGTTTAAACGTGTCTGTGTGTAAAAAGGTCTCTGTGTAAAAGCATTTCTGTGTCAAGATGTTTGTGTGTCAAAAGCGTCTGTGTGTAAAGCTGTCCCTGCGTACACGGGTCTGTGTGTACAAGCGTGTCTGTGTGAAGCTGTTTGTCTGTAAAAGCGTCTCTGTGTCAACGTGTTTCTGTGTAAAGCTATTGTAAAGGGGTCTGTGTGTAAAAGCATCTGTGTGTCGAAGTAAAAAAGTGTCTGTGTGTAAAAGCGTTTGTGTGTAAAAACGTTTGTGTGTAGTCTGCAAGGGTCTGTGTGTAAAAGGGTCTATGTGTTTTTAGCTTCACAATGCTGGTTCATAGCTTCTGTTTGCTTGCTGTTCGTTCTAAAATTGTATATGTAGCCGTTTCCCGTTCTTCCCAAAAGCGAAATGCAATAGCCGGCCGAATGGCCGCCAAATGGCAGAAAATTGCTTCCAACAGGTTTCTGCTCTGGATCTGGCTCCAAAAGGCTCCTGGCCAGGATTTGGCCTAAAACGGCCGTTTCCCCTTGAGCCCAGAAGGCACTTTTCGTTGCCGGCCCGCAAGCCGCGAAAGTCTTAAAAGCTGGCTCCAAAAGGCTTCGGCCAGGATTTGGCTAAAAATGGCCGTTTCCCCTTGATCCCAGAAGGCCCTTTTAGTTGCCGGCCCGCAAGCCGCGAAAGTCCCACAAGCTGGCTCCAAAAGGCTCCGGGCTTGCGAGGCGTCAGAAAACACGTTTTTTTTTTTCGGAGTTTTTTGCTCCGAGACTGCTCAAAAAACACGAAAACACCAACTATTTGACCATTTTTCGGCTTTACAAATGAAGGTAAAAAAAACATGCCGCAACGTCTCTGTGTGAAGATGTTTCTATGTAAAAGCGTCTCTGTGTAAAAGCGTTTCTCTGTAGATATATCTGTGTGTACAAGGGTCTGTGTGTACAAGCTTCTGTGTGTAAAAGGGTCTCTGTGTAAAAGCTTCTGTGTGTAAAAGCCTCTGTGTGTCAAAGCGTATGTATGTAAAAGTGTTTGTGTGTAAAAGCGTCTGTGTGTAAAAGGGTCTGTTTGCAACATTCTGTGTATGCGTAAAAGGGTCGGTGTGTAATAAGGTTCGTGTTTAAAAGTGTCTGTGTGTAAAAAGGTCTGCGTGTACAAGCATTTCTGTGTCAAGATGTTTGTGTGTCCAACAGTCTGTGTGCTACTACGACTCTGTGTAAAAGCCTTTCGGTGTAAGGATGTTTGTGTGTAAAAAGGTCTGTATGTAAAAGCCTTTGTGTGTAAAAGCGTATGTGTGTAAAAGTGTTTGTGTGTAAAAGCGCCTGTGTGTAAAAGGGTCTGTGTGCAACATTTTGTGTATGCGTAAAAGGGTCGGTGTGTAAAAAGGTTTCTGTGTAAAAGTGTCTGTGTGTAAAAAGGTCTCTGTGTAAAAGCATTTCTGTGTCAAGATGTTTATGTGTCAAAAAATGTCTGTGCGAAAAAAGCGTCTATGTCTCACGGCGTCTGTGTGTGCAAGGGTCTGTGTGTCAAAGGGTCTATGTGTAAAAGCGTCTGTGTGTAAAGCTGTCCCTGCGTACACGGGTCTGTGTGTGAAAGCGTCTGTGTGTCGTCTGTGTGAAGCTGTTTGTCTGTAAAAGCGTCTCTGTGTCAACGTGTTTCTGTGTAAAGCTATTGTAAAGGGGTCTGTGTGTAAAAGCATCTGTGTGTCGAAGTAAAAAAGTGTCTGTGTGTAAAAGCGTTTGTGTGTAAAAACGTTTGTGTGTAGTCTGCAAGGGTCTGTGTGTAAAAGGGTCTATGTGTTTTTAGCTTCACAATGCTGGGTCATAGCATAGCTTCTGTTTGCTTGCTGTTCGTTCTAAAATTGTATATGTAGCCGTTTCCCGTTCTTCCCAAAAGCGAAATGCAATAGCCGGCCGAATGGCCGCCAAATGGCAGAAAATTGCTTCCAACAGGTTTCTGCTCTGGATCTGGCTCCAAAAGGCTCCTGGCCAGGATTTGGCCTAAAACGGCCGAGCTGGAGCTGATCTGGACGAAAGTATCGTGGAATGCTAACAACTAGCAACCGCCTTTACTTCGAGATACTTCAGCGCAGAGACAAAAAAAACCATGAGCATTGCTTTGGGGGCTGGCTTTCGTCCCCCCCTTCTCAGGTATATATATGTATGTATGTATATATATATATATATGTATATACACAATGATATAGAATATTTTTTTTTGCTCGTAGCAATAATGGTGATAGCTACGATAGTAATCGTGCTCTTAATAATCATTATATTGTTGTTATATACGCAACACCATCAGAGATAGGGAATCAACAGCTGTGGGAAATGTTGTGCAGGAGGCATCCAGCGATGATTCAAAGACCTCCAAGAGACCTGGAAGATGGACGGCCTGGGCCGGACTCGCCCTCAGTTTGGGATCTAGCCTCTGGTTGACATAGCTATGGAAAATCTCCATTTTAAAGAGGGAAACTTAGGTAAATCATCTATAAATGATCCATTTTCCACAGCTACAGCTACATTGAATTACCAGAGGTTTTACCAGAGGTTTTTCTGACTCTTTTTTTTCTTGTCTGACAGCATGTCATGGGAAAGTCCGGAAACTCTGTACATTATTATGATGCTTCTATTTGATCATCTATGATTGGTTTACAGTATTTTTCACCAAATTCGGCTGAAGTAGGCTGTCATATCGTTGACGTTTAACGACCTTAATGATCAGCCGGTTGAGGAAATGCTCCAGACTTTCCAGAGATTGGATACGTCGAGCTGTCACCCAAGAGCATTACACATCACATGGCTCCGGTGTACCGGGAGGCACCAGGGACATTTCGATCTCGCTTTGGAATCTGAAGTGATCATTATCCAGATATTATCCAGATCATCTTATCTATGAAAAGGCCGCCTTCCCCTGCTCTCCAAGCGAAAATTCTAACTTTCATTTTCGGAAGTTATGATTAGATCATCAAACTTTTTGGACATTTCGATGCATTTTGTCAGTTTTTTCTGTATAATTCATCCAGCAATCTTTCCATTTTTGGTCTCATGTAAGGCGTGCCATGACCTGGCAGGCCCTAGCTGTCGTGGCTTCCAAGCGTGGTATTGCCTTGGAAGCAGCCGCGCGAGCAGATGAAGCCTTTGCAGATTGGCGATTGCGTGTGGGAGATCATGCAGATCATGCAGCCTGAATTTCTGGAAAGATGTGTTCACTTGGGTAGCCGGGTATCCTCAAAAATGGATGGTTGAGGATGGTTGAGGATGGTTGAGGTTATACCAAATTCACCACACGTCCAGCATCAAAATCTTTGATTCTTGCATCTAGAATTTAGATGATCTGAAATGGAATGGTTCAATGGCCATGGATTTTGGCCTACATCTAAGTAGCTAATCAGCTTCCCGTTTGAAGGGAGCAGATGCGCATACTTTTGCCGAAAAGGGGTGAAATGATGCCATTTTTTTAACGACGAAGAGTTTAAATGGACTGCTGAAATGCAGTCCAATCGATTTGTGGCTGGCCTGAATAAGAAAAAGAAGGAATTTGGTTCGCACACGGAGGGTGCTGATGCTGGAGCCTAACTTGTTACGGCTTCTACCTTGAACGAGTAGATCACGAAGAGCGACAGATATTGCAGATTGACACTCGAGGCACTGCTATGGACGTGCCCATGTCAAGCAGTAAAATGTATATAATGAGACCCTGGTTGAATTGGGACCAGTTCAGTAGCAGATGAACTCACTTTTTTGGGGTGACCCTCCATGCTCTATCCGCAGGCCTTGCTTGGCGACCCGCGTGCTGAGTTGGACTGGAGTGATTTTGCGGGCCGACTATTGTCGCGAGTCCGAACGCCTTGGTTAACACGTTTGGGGGACTCAGAATTGGAGATGTGCCATGGACGTTCATTTCTGCCGGGTTTCTGCCAACATCATGGGCCTCCAAGTATGATGTTTATGGTCATTTCAATGGGGGAACTGATTTTCAAAACCGTTGGATTTTGTAGTGTTCCTAACATTTTCGGACAAAACCCTTTGAGCAGTGATACAAATCCTTATTGTTTACTTGTTACAGAAGGTCATACTATTGGAGTCCCATTGTTGGATCTATAGATTTTGGAGTCCCATTGTTGGGTATTTTACATTTTGGATTTCCGGGTTTATCAGCAATACTTCTTTGCTCACCTGAGTGACACCCCCATTTTTTGGTTGGTCAAAATCCGCAAGTTTGGCGTTGAAAAGCTGCCGAAGATTGCCGAAGGCCAGGGTGTGGCGGACATCTTCGCACAGCTGCAGGTGCTGGCATGAAATCCATGACATGATTTGAAGATCTTGAAATTTCCTGGGAAAAAGAACAGCAACGAAGAGATCACGGCTTCAAGACTTAAGATGTTCGTATTCTCTGGCCGACAAGTTGCATATTTTGGAACACAATTTTTATATGTTCCCCCTGCCGAAAGCCAGGAAGTGACAGCCCTCAATTTTGGATGTTAGCCTCCCATATGGCTGGAACCTGGATATGCCTCCCATGAATCGTAAGTCTTCATATATATACATAGCTAGGGTCTGTTCCATTGACATGCATTGACAATATTTAAGCAATATTACCAATATAGCCAAAATAGGCAATATAAGCAATATATAGCAATATCATATAAGTAACCAATATAAATAGGGCAAACACATGCAAAAACGAATAGTTGCCACATGGTTCCCCCAGATCTTTGAAGAACTGCGTCAGAGCTGCGTCAGGTCCGATCTTCCAACTCAATGCCGGGGCAAATGCAGCCAGTGGTGGCTCGGGTCAAAGTTTTAAGGAGATTTTGGCCATGTCGCAATGTAGTTCATGAACCATGAAGATCCATGGCATTCAATGACATTTATATACATTTATGGGATTTTAATGGATTTTATGGGTACTCAAGTTTGACTACCTATTAGGAAAAAGAGGGCGCTTGAGCTGCCATCCCCGTGTCGGGATAATGGGAGGTGTCTCCTTTGAGGGGCAGGGCACACCAGAACGCTTTGCCGCATCAATGTGGACCCACATGAGCACGGCTTTGATCATGAAGAACAGTGCGACGCTGCATTTCTGATCTTTTGGTTCGCTGTCACTTTTTTCAACTCGAAGCACCGAGGAGAATCATCATGTCACGAGTTGGATGAGTTGGTCTGATTTTGGGATGTTTTGGGACATCATGTTTCTAATATTTTCTAATGGTTGTTGGAGATTTTTTCAGCAGTGGCTAGGGATGTCTCAGTTTCGACCATCGCCCCATTTTCTGCTGGCACTGGATCTGGGCGGATTCGGCGATCCCCCACTATCGTTGGTGAAGATCCCCTCGATTGCCAAGACGGATCAATATGAACCTTGTGTGTTATCATACGTAATTATAATTAATTACTGTATATACATATATATATATATGTATATATATATATATATGTATATATTATGCAATATAATTCCCCATTCCGATCCCTTGATAATATAAGCCCGTCTTTTTTTAGAACCAAATGAACTGATCGCAATTCACCCGTCTTATCGAAAGCCTCCTGCAAGGTGATAATGAGTTGGAAAGTTTTTTTTTTCAGGCCTTTGGTTACCATAGTTTGCCTGGTTGCGAACATGGAACATGCCCCATTTGAATCCATTTGAATAGATGATTAGATGATTTACCTGTTTAGCCATTCTGAATTCTAAATGTTTTGGCCATACCATCACAATCAAAACAGATCGAGGTTCGAGTTCCTGATTTGGTTCAAGCTCTACTGGGCTCTGAAGACTTTGCCGTGGAGGTTTTTTTCGGGTCGCCAATTTTGGGGCAAAACGAAGAGGGACATTTCACCACACAATGTAGATTTGCTGACAACAATGAACATTAAAACAACAAGTCGATTTCAGCAAGTGATTTCATCAACACATGGAGATTTAATCAGCAATTTTAGATCCACCAGCAGTGATTGGGATGTCAAAGCAACAAGTGGGTATGGGTCAAACTCTGGATCCGTCAACGGCAATTTTCATTTCCAACTATCCAATTCTGGATGGAACCTATTCTTGGTTTGATGCAAGGATTCTTTCTGCATGGGGCTAGCTTGAGGGAAAATTGAATCTAAGGAAACTCAGATTCTGACATCTTCTGACACATTTTTACCGTTAAAAACATGTTAAACCATTGGGGATATTGGGGCGATCGAAGCACGGTCCCTCATTCGACCAGACCAGGCCGCCCGCAGAGTACTTCGAGTGGTTGCCAGGGAAGCACGTCACCGAGGGCAAGATGTTGACGGCTCAGAAGATGCAGACTTTTAATGGATAATCATGGAGAATCACTAATGATTAATGGGATCAATGGGATTGATGTGATTGATGGGATTAATGGGATCAATGGATAATTACTAATTTTGTCACCAATTATCCATTGATCATATATTTAATCATTGTTCCGAAACATCTCTTTTTCCATGTTATCAAGGATGATCAGTCTCACTTCGTCCGTGCTTCGGGTGTGATCTTTAGCAAACTATCGCACACCGCCCTGGTTCTGAGTTCCGAGGTTGGGAAACTGTGTCTGGGCGCCGATACAAAACGCCATGAACTGAGCTTTTCAACAAAATTTGGGCGAACCCCCCCAAAAAATATGTGGAATGAGCTGGAAATGACCGCATCATTTCGAGGTGTTGGCAGCCTGAACCTCCAGCAGTTGTCCTCGGTGCTGTCCAGTTTGTGTCCTGGAATGCTTGCGGAGGCACGCAACCTGCCGAGAACCTTCCTGCAGAACGATGGAGACAGAAAATGGATCAGTTGAGATCAGTTGTCAATCTGTATTTGGTGGGTGATAATAGTTGGACTAGTAGTTGGCAACTGTGTTTACAACAGTTTCTACCGTTTCTCCTGTGTCTCAGGCAGATGTTGGTCTACTCTTCTGGCGCTTCTCTGGCGGTGGTGGGTTTTCCTACGATCAGCTTGAGGCGTCGTGCTGTCAGGTCTGCTTCAGTGCTGCCTCAAGTTCTCCTTGGATGATCGAAGTGGTTCATATGGTTTCAGTTGCAATATGGTACATCATGATACAACTTATTTTCATCAATTTTCATCCTTTTTAGCTGTCTGACCATCTTCACCCAGGCGGCTCTGAGAGAAGAGCGAAATGCCGCTGCGGAGCATTTGCTCCTGCGTGGATTGCCAGCCATGCTCTCGGTATCTCTCGGTTTTATCACATTTTTGAGGTCCACATAGTTGGAGGGTTTTCCGCATGTGTTTGTTTTCCCTCTATATCTGACAGGATTGCGACAAATCAATGCAAATCACAGCTTCTTCTCTATGTTGGGGGACAGGGCAACGCCTGATATTGTTCCAAGATGCTACGAATTTTTCAGCGTGTTTAGCTCCAACATCCTCCAATCTTAGCCAAAGATTGGCAAAGGCTTGAAGGGACCCTGGAACTTGCCTCGGCTTCGGCAAGGTCTTAATCGACAAAGCTGCAGACTTCGAGGCTTGTGGGGTCGAACAGCTACCAAAGCTTTAGGAAAGTTGAGACTCTCTTTGGGGCTTTCGTGACTGAGATTGGAAACAAGTTGTTCATAATCTGGAAATAGCGCACAGTTTACTCAGACGAAAGCCTTACGACCGATATTTGTGGGGCCATGGCGGCCATGGTACGACATCACGGGACGCTGCAACGGTCCAGGCCGCATCCAAAGCTCACGACCTCGGCCGTACGGGCAAACTCTCTGCGGCCCAGTTGCGCGGGGCGCTGACACGACTGAACCTTTTTGGAGGCTGGTGATTGGATGATATTGGATGCAATGCTTGGAACTTCTACAATTTTGCTCATTGGTCGGACAGATTCTAAATTTGGGACTTTCCATACCAAGTCGGCGAAGCATCGATCGAAATCGCGACATCGGAGGCGACATGACGGAAGTGGATGAGTTTGCGCAGCTGCTGGCAGAGGGCTGCAAGCGCGATGCATCCAACTTTGACTATGCGAGCCTAGTGGCTGGTGGAACCTGGAAGGCACCCATAGCATCCTGATGTTGTCATTTCATTTTGTGAAAGCCGGTGGATTTGAGGTCTTGGAAAGATGGAGTAGTGGGAACCCTGAGTAATTTTGATCGCTAGATCTGATGATTTTGGCTCCTAGATCCCTCTTATAGTTGGTCCTTATAGTTGGTCCCACTGGTGATACCAAATTTGGATCATTGGAAGTTGGCCTTTTCGCAGAGGGCCCAGTAGGGGCCAACGAAAACTTCCCACCTGGTGCCTCTTTTCGCCAGGGAGCCTCAGTTAAAGACGCCATTGCCCGAGTCTGCGGCGAAGCTTCAGATGTAGCTGGGAAGCGATCTGTGCCCTCAAAGAGGTGCGGATATCGCAGACCGAACCACTGAGATCTGATCACCAAATCATGGGGGCTTTACTGCAGGATCCTAAGATATCCTAAGTATCAGTAATGGCTTTCGAATCCTCAAATGGGGATCTAGCCGCGAAGGCAAGGCAGATGGAACCATATCCACATAATCCACATGCAACAATATATAATGGCATTTCGCACCATTCAAAATCATCCGGCACACGGGGCGGTCTCAGCTGTGATTGTGGCATGAATCCTGGAGGCATTTGCTATCCATCCTGTACTACAAGACCGCTGATGCCAGCAAGAAGCTTGGCCTGCGAAAGGCTCAGCATGCGCCATGGGATTGGAAGACGTGTCACTTTTGTGGCTTGTACTACCGCATGATACCCAACAGAACTGCAACAACAGGTAACAACAACAGGTAACAACAACAGGCAACAACAACAGGTAACAACAACAGGTAACAACAACAGGCAACAACAACAGGTAACAACAACAACAGCAACAACAACAACAACAAGAACAACAAGAACAACAAGAACAACAAGAACAACAAGAGTAACAACAATAACAACAAGAACAATAAGAACAAGAAGAACACGAAGAACAAGGATAACCAGAATCAGGATCATAATCATAATCGCATTCATAGCCTTAACAATACGCATGACAATAATAATGCTAGTAAATAGTAACAATCATAGTAATTATATAATATTATAGCAATAATCATACGTAATAATAATTGGTAATAATTACTCATACAAGTAATCACAACAATGAAATTGTCATAATAATAGCAATGAACATAGTAATGATAACAACAATAATCATAGACAGTAACAACAATACTATTAAAGAATAGCAACATTATTACCAATAAGAACAACAGCAATGATCATCCTCATGGTCCCCCAGCATCCCTGGCGATTGGTCGCACCAAGCTCCAAGGTCACGACAACGCGCCTTTGACAATCTGGACGAAGGGAACAAGGGATTCCTGAACGCCGAGGAGCGCAGCAGCTGCGATCCCAACCCAAAGATGGGATGGTTGAGACCATAGACACTACAGATACTACAGTGATTAATATAATGACTAGAAATAATGACTCGAACTCATGAGTTCAGTTGTGTTTTTGAGTAAATATTGACCCGTGCCCGGCTGCCTGTTTTTCCTTCTCTCTGATCTTTGGATTGAAATTGATAGAAAATTGTGACATATCCTGTGTATAGTCACTGTATAGTCAACATTTCTTGAAATCACCTTCCTTGAATTTGGAGACATACCGATGGGTCAAAGGATAATGTTTTGAAGCACACACAGAAAAATACCGAATCAAACACACCCTCTGAGCATCAAGATGTTGCAGTGTTCCAAGTGGTCGTGCCGCACCAGTTGGCCCTGGAAGGACCTTAGAGCAGCAGTGCTCCAAGTCGTGGGCGGTGCCAGCGTCTGAGTGCTGAAGGGTGACGGTCTTTTATCGGTCAACGTTCAAGACGTAGCAAACCACAGATTTTGGGTCACTTTCTTGGATCATTTTAGGCATTGCATTTTTTTTTGATATCCAATTTTGACCCATCCTATATAATGCATTGCAGTAATTGACAGCATTTGTTGCATCCCTGCTGTCGATTTGCAGGTCACCTGGTGCACGCTTGGGGAAAGTTACTCATGCTGTGGCTCACCTGAGGATGAGACGCTGACTCTAAAGGATTTGGGACTACCTCCTGCCACAAGGTGCGCAGCACGGTGCACGTTTGTAGCAACTGAATTTCATCCGCAGCCAGGCTGACTTTGCAGGACTTCGAAAAGCGCTTGAACTTTGATTTCGGACGGCTTAGCAAGTGCATCAACAAGGTTGGAGACACAGGATTGGAGAATTGCTTGACCCCTGAAGGCTCCCTTGTTTGGAGTTTTTTGGTGCAAGCAACCCAATGATCCAAGACTCTTGAAGATCATAAGCTAGCAAGCATCGACTCTATCTTGGTCTTAGAGTCTAAAAGTTCAAGGGGCATATGCAATACCTTTGACATCCTTTGAAGGACCATTTGGGTGAAAATGGGTACCCAAAATGTGGAGGATTGCCATGGATTGCCTGGAGTTGCTGGGATGTGGGACGTGACCCGGAGGTTAAAACTTCAAGTGAGTGGTGCAACTTCGAAAATTGCACAGGTATTAAGTTTGCAACTTCGAAGCTTTTGAGCCATGGTGTATGTTGGCTTTGTTTGCTTGACATGTTTTTTGGTGATTCCATTTGGAGAAGGTGGTCCGCTACATTTCCAAAGGTGGAGCGGAAGCACTATATGTCTGATCTTTGGAGCGGGATGCGCGCGAACATTTATAGTTTCAGTTGTTCTTGCAAACTTGGAGCGACACACCTGCTTCAAAATTGCCGTGTCAGAGTTGGGTGGATAAATTTTTGGGTGGATATTTTTTTGGCGTTTTCTTTTTCTGATCTTATGTTCGGCTGCTTTTGTTGTTTTTGCTTCTGCTTCTTCGCTTCTCTGTGTTTTTCTTGCTGTTCTCTCTTTTTCTCCAAATCAGTGGATCAATCAGACCTAGACCAAGCCTACAAAACAAATTAAGCCAACCCTGAATAAAGCCTCAACAACCTGCAAATCAACCGCAAACCAAGTGTGATCTTTATCCTAAACCTTGATAAGCTTTGACCCATCCCTCAACAAACATCAATAAACGTTATACCATTATACCAATCGTAAACAAATTTTCACCCAACCCTAAATAAGCTTCGGTGGTATCCCCAACAGCCGCAACGTTTTATTTTTACCAATCTTTCTGAAGCGTGCTGCGAAGCCAAGCGCTGGAAACACCTCGACGGGGTTTCCGTGTATTAAATGGCCGCAAATCCTATTGAACCTGACCTGGCCCTGCACCAAAGCCTCCCAACCTTCGGAACCTCATCTCCGGAATATCGTTGACCCGGCGCCTGCACCAGTGCACACAGGAGCTATTCTGTGCTGAAGACCCCATTAGCTTATGCTGTTGGGGAATAAACCTTAAAACAAGCTCAAGCAAACCCCAAATCAATTTTTAATACGCCTTAAACCCGCCTTAGATAAATTTGAAACAAACCCTGAATAAGCTTCAAAAAACCCTAATTAAAGATTGAGCCAGCGCCAAATAATACCGGAACCAACCCCAAAGAATCAATAAACCAACCGGTAACAGGAAATAAACCCACCAATCTTAAAACAACCCCCCAAAAAAACCAACGCAAAACCCACCACAACGAATGACATTGAAAACGCTCCTATATAAACTAAGATAACCCTACATAAACCCTAGGCCAGCCGCAAAGAAATTAAACCACCACCAAATAAACATTTAAACGGACCTAAGCAAACCACACCCTAAGCAAAATCTAAGATCTTCTTAGCGCAGTAGCAATGATGTTTGAAGTGGAGGGAAACATTTTTCAGCGTAGCGTCAATGATGTCAGAGACTTGAAATCAAAATCTTACATCGTAGCATCAATGATGCTAGAGCGTGCAGACAAACATCTTACAGCATAGCATCAAAGATGTCAAGAAATTGAAGAAAAGACCTTTCTGCAGAGCACCATCTATACGCCCGGGCTCGCGCCTAGAGGCGCCCGCACCAAAAACATCACCAAATAAACGCTGTATTCACCTTAAGTGAGCCCCAGACCAACCCAAACAAACCCTAAACCAACCGTAAATCAGCCTTAAACCACCAAATAAGCCGGAAACCGCCCCTAAGCCTTCAATAAATTTCAAGCCAACCCTAATAAAATCTAATAAAGCTTAAATCAGCTGTATTCGTAGCGCGAACTGCAAGCAGCATCGTGAAGTGTCCGAAATATTGTTCTTGCACGGCATTTCCTGCAAAATCCTAGCCCCAAGATCAAAAACAGGAAAAACACGAAAAGGAATATGTTTTCCCAAACAATTTGGCACCTGATTCATATGGTAGCACAATGGCTTCACCAGAGAGACGCCGTACACCAGCGTAGCCTGACCGTATACCAGACACGAGCCAACCGTATACCAGAGTAGAAAATTCCGTATACCAAAGCATTAATACACAATAAGTAGCTTACCAAAAAGGCACAGTATACCAACAAAAAGGTCCATATACAAATCATAGACGAAACACAGACCAAGCCAGAGCAGAGAAGTTCTGTATAGCAAAGCCATACTACTACGTGTACCAAAACAAGAAGGTCCCGTATACCAGCCGTATACCAAAATACACCCAGACCAAACCCGAACACCAACTGTGACCCATAGATCCTAACATGCTTCTTCATCAATGCTGGTGCCGAAAGAAAAAAATGGAAAGTTTCAAAAAGGGATGTAGCCATGGTTTTCATGTGCGTTTGGTGCAGTACGAAGATGTATGCACTGTGTATTCACTCTATATACAAATGTTCCTGCTTAGTTGCGAAACTAAACTTGGAGCACTGTACTTTGGGGCTGACGGACCACATTTTGAAATATCATTTTCTTTAAAGACAACTTGCAAGAATTCGAAATTGCAAAAAATGTAAGTGCATACTGTAGTAACTTCAAAAGCAACCTTTTTGTAACTTAAGTAACTTGGGTAGAAAAACACACCTTAGCAGGGACGTCAAGGACATTGGAGACGTTAATGAGGACGTTGGAGAGGGACGTTGTGAACGTTGTGGAGGTTGAGGGCGTATAACGTTCAGGACGTTGAGGATGTTGAGGACGTTGGGGACGTTGAGGACGTAAAGGACACCAGGACGTTGGAAAGGGATGTGAAGGATGTTGAGGATGTTGCGGACGGTTGTCGAGGGACATCAGGGACGTCAGGGACGGCAGGGACGTCAGGGATGTCAGGGACATCAGGGAAGTCAGAGACTTCAGGGACGTTGGGAACGTTGGGGTTTTCTAGGTGTGACATGGTGTTACCGTGGCCACACATTGAACACCCATTTGTACAGTGTCCACACCAGCAGGTGACTTGGGATGCTGGGATGTCAATGGGCCCCATTGTCAGGTCTTTGGAGATCAAGCAGTGATTGCTGAGCTTGGAGCCAAACGACGATGGAAGATTTCGAACCCAGAAAGGGGCAGTAACGGAAAACACTGCTGCGTTGCAGTGGTCGCTTCAGAACATCATGCGGATCCTGTATACTTTCAAAACGTTCCAAACCCTTCTGACATCTTCTGACTCTTGTTTTGGCAGAACTGAGTCTTTTTGTTCTCTTCATTTCTACAACGTGGCGGAACCTGGACAATGCCGTTCTCGAGGTCGGACTTCACCAGCCGCCTCTCGCACTTTGCTGGTGTTGATAAGGCCAGATCAAAGTCACCCATTGCTGGGATTACCCATACCTACACAGCTGATATCCAACAGGTTGATACAGGTTGAGCATCGAGTACAACAGGTTTGGCAGCGCCATAAAGCACAACTGAACGTCATCTAAATAGTCAACAGTGTGTATTGACATGTACAGTATTGACCGTTATGACCTACCCCCCCTTATTTATCATGTCGTCATGTCATAGGATCCGTTTGTCCTCCTTAGCTTCGATCCCAGACTTGCTGCAACCACCTCCGCTCACCTCCGCTTACCTCGCGAGGCGACCTCTCAGACCTGGCTACAGCTTATGTGACCGCAGCTTCTGCTATTGATTTCCCATATTTCGGGGTATCCGTAGAGTCTACCCCCCGATGGGAAACATGGTTATGAATTTGCAGATTTCGCGGATACCCTATTCTCAGACAAATCTATATTTTTTCTATGACATTTTTTCTATGATCACATGCCTATCAACACGACAGTATTAGTTGTCCGCATACACGCACGCATATGTGTCAGATTCTGTAGGGAGTTACATCCCCTTGCAAGAAGCTGAAATGAAATAGACTACCGTGGCAATGCAGATTCAGAAGTGATTCAGTTCACAAGACGTGTGTGTAAACTCGGACCATGAATTCCCTGTGTCGATTCACTGTGTCGGAGCCTTATGGCCTTGAAGGTACCCTGAAGGCGTGCCTGAGGGCATTGGCCGCGGGGCCTGCGAGATGTTTCTGGCCACCACACCTGCATGCACACCTTTCGAAGGCCGCGGGGTTGTGGAGTTTCTCAGGGCCAGCGGAGGGGCAGTTCCATGCTTTTAGTGGGAAACTAGACGACGGATGGCCCGAGAGCGTAGAGGAGCAGAGTCTTCTCTTGTTAGTATGGAGACACCATACTACAAAACAATATATGAAAGATGTGTTATAGGCAGTCGAGAAGAGGAGTATCAAGACAATATAGCACAAGTACAAGACAGTAGTTTGCATCGTATCTTTTGTATAGCTTTTCACACACAGAACTTTTTACAGAGAGACGCTTTTACACACAGATGCTTTTAGACACAGACACTTTTACATACGGAAGCTTTTGCGCACAGACATTTTTACATACGGAAGCTTTTACACACAGACGCTTTTACACACATAGGCTTTTACACAGACGCTTTTACACACAAAAGCTTTTACACACGGAAGCTTTTACACACACAGACGCTTTTACACACAGAAGCTTTTACACAGACGCTTTTGCACACAAAAGCTTTTACACACAGAAGCTTTTACACACACAGACGCTTTTACACACAGAAGCTTTTACACAGACGCTTTTGCACACAAAAGCTTTTACACACAGAAGCTTTTACACACAGAGGCTTTTACACACAGACACAGACGCTTTTACACACAGACAGTTTTACACACAGACGCTTTTGCACACAGAGGCTTTTACATACAGGCGCTTTTACACACAGACAGTTTTACACGCAGACACTTTTACACACAGACGCTTTTGCACACAGAGGCTTTTACACACAGACGCAGACGCTTTTACACACAGACAGTTTTACACACAGACACTTTTACACACAGACACTTTTACATACAGGCGCTTTTACACACAGCACAGGCAGTTTTACACGCAGACACTTTTACACACAGACGCTTTTACACACAGAAGCTTTTACACAGACGCTTTTGCGCACAAAAGCTTTTACACACAGAAGCTTTTACACACAGATACTTTTACACACAGACGCTTTTACACACAGAGGCTTTTACACACAGACACTTTTACACAGAGCAGACAGAAGCTTTTACACACACACACAGACGCTTTTACACACAGACGCTTTTACACACAGACGCTTTTACACACAGACGCTTTTACACACAAACGCTTTCACACACACAGACGCTTTCACACACAAAAGCTTTTGCACACGTTTTGACGATCGAACCTCGTTTCGTGCGAAAGGGTTGCGCGGAGCAACTTGAAATTGCAATTTTACCTAAGTTTTTGACGATCGAACCTCATTTCGTGCGAAACGGTCGCGCGGAACACTTTGAAATCGCAATTTTACCTCAGTTTTTGGCGATCGAACCTCATTTCGTGCGAAAGGGTTGCGCGGGACGACTTGAACTCGCACTTTTACCTCAGTTTTTGGCGATCGAACCTCGTTTCGTGCGAAAAGGTTGCGCCGGACAAGTTGAAATCGCAATTTTACTGCAGTTTTTGACGATCGAACCTCATTTCGTGCGAAAGGGTTGCGCGGAACAAGTTGAAATCGCAATTTTACCTCAGTTTTTGGCGATCGAACCTCGTTTCGTGCGAAAGGGTTGCGCGGGACGACTTGAACTCATAATTTTACCTCAGTTTTTGGCGATCGAACCTCGTTTCGTGCGAAAAGGTTGCGCCGGACAAGTTGAAATCGCAATTTTACCGCAGTTTTTGACGATCGAACCTCATTTCGTGCAAAAGGGTTGCGCGGGACAAGTTGAAATCGCAATTTTACCTCAGTTTTTGGCGATCGAACCTCGTTTCGTGCGAAAGGGTTGCGCGGGACAAGTTGAAATCGCAATTTTACCTCAGTTTTTGGCGATCGAACCTCGTTTCGTGCGAAAGGGTTGCGTTTGGTGCCGTCTCGTTGGCACTGCCTCCGCCTTCAGAAGAGAAATATAAAAGAAGGAGAGGGCAAGAGGGCAAGAGGGCAAGAGGGCAAGAGGGCAAGAGGGCAAGAGGGCAAGAGGGCAAGAGGGCAAGAGGGCAAGAGGCAAGAGGGCAAGAGGGCAAGAGGGCAATGAGGGCAAGAGGGCAAGAGGGCAAGAGGGCAAGAGGGCAAGAGGGCAAGAGGGCAAGAGGGCAAGAGGGCAAGAGGGCAAGAGGGCAAGAGGGCAAGAGGGCAAGAGGGCAAGAGGGCAAGAGGGCAAGAGGGCAAGAGGGCAAGAGGGGCAAGAGGGAAGAGGGCAAGAGGGCAAGAGGGCAAGAGGGCAGAGGGCAAAGGGCAAGAGGGCAAGAGGGCAGAGGCAAGAGGGCAAGAGTGCAAGAGGGCAAGAGGGCAGAGGGCAAAGGGCAAGAGGGCAAGAGGGCAGAGGGCAAGAGGGCAAGAGGGCAAGAGGGCAAGAGGGCAAGAGGCAAGAGGGCAAGAGGGCAAGAGTAGAAGATGTAAATGTGAGGAAAATAAAGATAGAAGATGAGCAGATGATAAATGAGAAGATATGAAGATGAGCAGATGTGAAGATGTGAAGATTAGAAGATGTGAAGATGAGAAGATGTGAAGATGAGAAGATGTGAAGATGAGAAGATGTGAAGATGAGAAGATGTGAAGATGAGAAGATGTGAAGATGTGAAGATGTGAAGATGAGAAGATGTGAAGATGGGAAGATGTGAAGATGAGAAGATGTGAAGATGAGAAGATGAGAGACAGACCCCCACTATTGGAAGAACCCTGCGCTCAGACGCCCTCGGGAAAAAACAACATATTTATACACGTATTAAAATATCACAGGAAAATCAGCAATGAGTTGTTTGAGCTTCGAAGAAAAATCCTGCCAGGCGCACAGCCAGTGCGTCAGGGTGCTGGACGCTTGCCGCTTTGGGAGGCCGGATCTGACAGGGTCAGGCGATGTTTGGGGCCCAAAATCGCTGGCGTCATCGTCCAAATTGACTTGGTTATTTTTGCTCAGGGGAAACCAATGGGGATAAAGTGCAGATAGTCTGTCCCTCAAGTTTGAGACAGGTTGGCCATGATCATCGGGAATAATATGATGATTATTCGGTGGAATTGAGGGTTTGGGATTTCTGGGCAAATCCGATTATGGAGTCAAAAAACAAGACCAACCAACGAACCGAATGCAGTCACGGAAAAACATTTGCGAAACAAGTTTATCAATAGTCTTTTACATTCTTATCCTGTTACCGTACCAGTGTAGACTGTGGAGTGTGACATGGGCTGGAGTGCAGAGTGTGAAGTATAAAGTGTAGAGTATAAATCAGCGTGTTGAGTGGGGAATGTAGCGCGTAGAGTGTGAAGTGTGGAGTCTGGACTGTAGAGTGTGAAGTGGGGATTGTGGAGTGTGAAGTGTGACATGTGGAGTGTGGAGTGTAGCGTGTGGAGTGTGGAATGTAGAGTGCAAGTGTAATTGTCAAGTGTAAAATGTCAAAAGTGGAGTGTACAGTGTACCGTGCAAAGTGTAGAGTGTAGAGTGTCGAGCGTTTAGTGTGGAGTGGCCACTGTAGAGTGTGGAGGGTGGAGTGTAGAGTTTGGAGTATAAAGTGTGGAGCGTGGAGTCTGAGTTGTGAAGTGTAGAGTGTGGGGGCTGAAGTCAGGAATGAATTGATGTAAATTGTGTGTGGGGTTTAGGGTGTGGAGTGTGAAGGGGAGTGTAGAGTGTGGAGTAGGGTGCAGAGTGTGAAGTGTGAGTTGTGGACTGTAGAGTGTGGAGTGTAGAGCGTAGAGTGTAAAGTGTGAAGTGTGACGTGTGAAGTGTGGAGTGTGGAATATATATATATATATATAAAGAGACAGAGTGTGTGTGTATAAAGTGTGGAGTGTAGAGTGCAGAATGAGGTGTAAAATGTAAAGTGTAGAGAGTGGAGTGTAAAGTGGGGAGTGGGGAGTGGGGAGTGGGGAGTGGGGAGCGGGGATTGGTCTGGGGAATGAGAACTGTGGAGTGTCAAGCGCGTGGAGTGTGAAGTGTGGAGCTTACAAGGAGTGGAAATATGAGTGGAATGTGCAATGTTCAATGTACTGTAGTAATAGCGGTAAGTGGAATGTAGAGTGTGGAGGGTCAAGTCTACACTGGCAAGTTGCAACCTCACCAGATACTGCACCTGCCAAGTAGAATGGCGCGAAAGACGAAGGTAGTATCGCACCTCGCGCAGCCGTGCCATTGCGGAAAGTGGCAACCGCAAACATGAAAGTGTCCTAAATACTGCGCACCCCCGAAAATGACATTCCACAAACGACGGATCTGCGCCAAATGTTGCGCCTGCCACGCAAGAGGGCACTCTCACGATGTACCACGCCTGCCATGCAATTTGCACGTTGACACCACTTGACACAGGCCTGACAATGCAAATCAAACTACGCCTGCCACACAAAACGACGTTGCACGACGTTTCAAATTTCCAACAATGATACCTCTTGCAGCGCTCGCCATAGGTACGGCCATAGGGCCTTCACTGCGGTCGCTTGCGGACGGTTGTGGACGGTTGCAGACGGTTGCGATCGCAAAAGAAACCTCAAACGAACACGTCTCCACCCCTAGACCCCGAAAGTAAAAGGAGAACCCTCCGCTACGCATTCGGGAAAAAATGAGTGGGACTTGGGACCCACAGATTTTGGTCATTTCTAGTAGTAGCAATCTTGAATACTTTATGGATACCAAGCTTTGACGAGACCCATCTGGAATGGATTGTGCAGGCAATCGACAAAGTCGTTCCTTTTTCCCCAGATAGCTGGCAAGCTATAGGGGTTCTTACTTCTCAAAGGTGGGGTCTTCGGTGGCGAACTTTTGAGCAGGGTGCTGTGCAGGGTGCTGTGCAGGGTGCTGTGCAGGGTGCTGTCCAGACTGCGGTGGCGAAGTCTGGCAAAGGTGCTGTGCAGGGTGCTGTGCAGGGTGCTGTCCAGACTGCGGTGGCGAAGTCTGGCAAAGGTGCTGTGCAGGGTGCTGTGCAGGGTGCTGTGCAGGGTGCTGTTGCAGGGTGCTGTGCAGGGTGCTGTGGCAAGGGTGCTGTCAGGGTGCTGTCCAGATGCGGTTGCGAAGCTGGCCAAAGGTGCTGTGCAGGGTGCTGTGGCAGGGTGCTGTGCACTGTGCGGGTGCTGTCGCAGACTTGCGGTGGCTCATTCGTCAAAGGTGCTGTGCAGGGTTCTGTGCAGGTTTGCTGTGCAGGTGCTGTCCAGATGCCGGTGGCGAAGTCTGGCAAAGGTGCTGTGGCAGGGTGCTGTGAAGCAGGGTGCTGTGCAACTCTTGCAGTTTCTGTCCAGACTGCGGTGGCGAAGTCTGGCAAAGGTGCTGTGCAGGGTGCTGTGCAGGGTGCTGTGCAGGGTGCTGTTGCAGGGTGCTGTGCAGGGTGCTGTCCAGATTGCGGTGGCGAAGTCTGGCAAAGGGTGCTGTTGCAGGGTGCTGTGCAGGGTGCTGTCCAGACTGCGGTGGCGAAGTCTGGCAAAGGTGCTGTGCAGGGTGCTGTGCAGGGTGCTGTCCAGACTGCGGTGGCAGGGTGTTGTGCAGGGTGCTGTGCAGGGTGCTGTACAGATTGCGGTGGCGAAGTCTGGCAAGGTGCTGTGCAGGGTGCTGTGCAGGGTGCTGTGCAGGGTGCTGTGCAGGGTGCTGTCCAGACTGCGGTGGCGAAGTCTGGCAAAGGTGCTGTGCAGGGTGCTGTCCAGACTGTGGTGGCGAAGTCTGGCAAATGTGCTGTGCAGGTTGCTGTGCAGGGTGTTGTCCAGACTGCGGTGGCGAAGTCTGGCAAAGGTGCTGTGCAGGGTGCTGTGCAGGGTGCTGTCCAGATGCGGTGGCGAAGTCTGGCAAAGGTGCTGTGCAGGGTGCTGTGCAGGGTGTTTTACACACTGCGGTGGTGAAGTCTGGCAAAGGTGCTGTCCAGACTGCGGTGGCGAAGTCTGGCAAAGGTGCTGTGCAGGGTGCTGCGCAGGGTGCTGTGCAGGGCGCTGTGCAGGGTGCTGACAAAGGTGATGTGCAGGGGGCTGTGCAGGGTGCTGTGCAGGGTGCTGTGCAAGGTGCTGTCCAGACTGTGGTGGCGAAGTCTGGCAAAGGTGCTGTGCAGGGAGCTGTGAAGGGTGGTGTGAAAGGTGCTGTGCAGGGTGCTGTGCTTTGGTTCCCACGTTGGGAACCATCAGTTCCAACCTTTAGGAATTGGAAGTTCTTTGCAATGGTAACCTCTAGTTCCCAGGTTGGGAACCATGAGTTCCAACCTCTGGGAACCGGCAGTTCCTTGCAATGGTAACCCATGGTTCCCAGGTTGGGAACCAGGAGTTCCACCCTATGGGAACCGGCAGTTCCTTGCAATGGTAACCTGTGGTTCCCACGTTGGCAACCGTGAGTTCCAACCTTTGGGAACCGGCAGTTCCTTACCATGAACCAAACGCAAACATTCCGGTACCGGTCCATTGAGCAAAACAAAGCGTTCTTTACCGGCTGGGAACCGGCAGTTCCTTGCCATGGTAACCTTTGGTTCCCACGTTGGGAACCATCAGTTCCAACCTTTAGGAACTGGAAGTTCTTTGCAATGGTAGCCTATGGTTCCCAGGTTGGGAAGCATGAGATCCAACCTCTGGGAACCGGCAGTTGCTTGCAATGGTAACCTCTGGTTCCCCATGACTTCTAACCTGTGGGAACCGGCAGTTCTTTGCAATGGTAACCTGTGGTTCCCACGTTGGCAAGCGTGAGTTCCAACCTTTGGGACCCGGCAGTTCCTTGCCATGAACCAAACGCAAACATTCTGGTACCGGTCCATTCAGCAAAACAAAGCGTTCTTTACCGGTCCATTAAGCAAAACAAAAGGTTCTGTTACCGGCTCAGTAAACAAAACAAAACAACATTAAGAACCATGAAATTCCAACTTTTTGGAATCAACAGATCCTTCCACTGATAACGTATGCTTTTTCAGCTTTGGAACCATGAGTTTCAAGCTTTCGTACAATGATAGTTGCTTATCTTCGAAAACATAAATTCTAACTTCTGGGAACCGGCAATTCCTTGCAATGGCAACCTCTGGTTCCCAGGTTGGGAACCGTAAGTTTCAAGGTCTGGGAACCGGCAGTTCTTTGCCATGGTAACCTTTGGTTCCCACGTTGGGAACCATCAGTTCCAACCTTTAGGAAACGGAAGTTCTTTGCAATGGTAACCTATGGTTCCCAGGTTGGGAAGCATGAGTTCCAACCTCTGGGAACCGGCATTTCCTTGCAATGGTAACCCATGGTTCCCAAGTTGGGAACCAGGAGTTCCAACCTCTGGGAACCGGCAGTTCCTTGCAATAGTAACCTGTAACCTGTGGTTCCCACGTTGGCAACCGTGAGTTCCAACCTTTGGAAACCGGCAGTTCCTTGCCATGAACCAAACGCAAACATTCCGGTACCGGTCCATTAAGCAAAACAAAGCGTTCTGTACCGGTCCATTAAGCAAAACCAGAAAGTTGTAAAGAAAATGTTTTCATATCATTTTAACATGCACCTTTTTCGTGCATTTTTTTTTTGCCAGCCCAACAGCCAAACGCAAACATTCCGCTACCGGTCCATTAAGCAAAACTAAAGGTTCTGTTACCGGCTCAGTAAACAAAACAAAACAACATTAAGAACCATGAGTTCTAACTTTTTGCAATCAAGAGATCCCTCCAGTGGTAACGTTACTTTTTCAGGCTTGGAACATCTTGGAACCATGAGTTTCAAGCTTTGGGAACCTGCAGTTCCTTACAATGATAGTTGCTTATCTTCGAAAACATAAATTCTAACTTCTGGGAACCGGCAATTCCTTGCAATGGTAACCTCTGGTTCCCAGGTTGGGAACCGTAAGTTTCAAGGTCTGGGAACGGCAGTTCCTTGCCATGGTAAACCTTTGGTTCCCACGTTGGGAACCATCAGTTCCAA